ACTTGAACTCTCAGCAGCCTTCAAGACAGATCTCACTCTCTCTTTTTTAAAGCAATAGCTAATGGGTTTTTGCTTCATAACCCACCATCCTAAAACTCTGTGGCTTAAAATAATTTATGATTTCTCTTGAGTCTATGGGTCCTCTGGGTGGTTTATATGGTCTTCGCTTTCTCACTCATGTGTTTATGGGCTGGTGCAGGCAATGGGACTCTGTTGATCTAGGCTGGATTCTTAACATGTTGAGGATTGACAGATTTTAGGGTGGCCTCATCTGGATATTTCAAAATTGGCAGGTTTTCATACTCTGGCCAACTCTATTCTACTAGTTCTGCTCATCTAGAAAGTAACAGTGCTGAATTATTGGTGGCAGTTCTTTACCTTGTGTGTGTTTGTGTGCTAATATAGAGGGAAAAAAAATCAGAAAATTTTTATTCTTTTACATTTCTGTAAATTGCATTGCTGTTTTCAGGCACAATGGAAATGAATAAGAAGTTGATGGAGTCATTTTTCATTTTGTAGTTTCTGATTGTGTCAAGGATCAAAACAAGGACAGAGGAGGATTAAACACATCCTTACTTTATTCCATTTCTGTGTGAAAACCTGTATGAGCAGGAAAATTATTTTAGGATAAGCACATGTGCAAAAATGTCAACAGTTTTAGTGACTGAGAAAGCTGTCATAGATAAGCGAGTTGTCTCTGAAATACGTAAAATATTTTTCATATGTAAATAAAGTAAAACTTCGCAGCCCAGACATCTGTGAGAGTGTGAGAGCTCTTGAAAAATGACTCATTCAGTTAGGCAAAGATATGAAACCATATCTGAATGCAGAACTATGTGAGCTACAGAGAATCTAGAATGCTGAAGATCAGCACATACTCTTGCCAAAATAGTGTGTTGAGTTTTTCCATCTTTTTTGGTTTGTGGGCTGGTCTAATAATCGAATTAACATAGGACAGATTAATGGAAGGAAGACAAATTCAATTACACACATATAGGAGACCTGTAAGAATATGAAACCCAGGGACAGTGGGACAATTGAAGCTAAAATGACATCTTTTTTTTTTTTTCACACGGTGTGTGGAGCCCAGTGCAGGGCTTGAACTGTTCATGACCTTGAGATCAAGACCTGAGCTGAGATCAAGAGGCGTGTGCACTTACCTAACTGAGCTACCCAGGCACCCTTTAAATGCAATCTTGAACTAAGGAATGAGATAAGAACCAGGGACTGCAAAAGGAAGGATGGTGAGTCACAGGATAATAAAAAGAGCAGATATTTGGTAATTAGATTTTGTCCTACCATATAGATAGTTTATTCAGATACAGAAGTTATCTCTTGGTAAAACTCTCTTTCTAAACTAGGCCCCCTACCCAAATTCTTTTAGGTAGCTTAAGGGAGAGGTAAAAGTTTTTCATGAGCTTGCTGGGTCTTGATTGCCCTCAGCTGGAAATAGTCCACATGCGAAAGTGGCATGCTTTGGGGGAGATGTTCTGAAATGCTTTACGTGTTTAGAATAAATGTGGGGTCATTAAAAAAATTAACAAATACTACAGAAGTGCATGAGAAAAACACAAGTTGTGAATACTGATTTTTACAAATGGTCTGATGTAACATGCAGAACTGAGTATTAAAGGGCCTGAAGAGATCATTTAGTTGAAGGCCATCTTGCCTATTAAAACATTAAAAGGAATCTGAGACTCAGAGAGATTGAAAAGGTTGCCAATGGGACATAGAAAATGTGGGGCACAGCCTAGAGCAGACACACAGGATATTGGCCCCCAGTCTTCATCACTCTCTTTTGGCCGTGGTAGCCACTTTACTGTTGAGAAAAATCCCATACTGATTTTAGTGTATTTCTATTACATTTAAGCCTAAAAAAATCATCCTATCTCCTATGTAGGCTGAGGAATGTGTTCCAGATATATATTCAAGCTTTTCCTACCCAGAAGTTGGTATCTTGATGGTTTTCATGAGATAAGATATTTAAGACATTTATTTATGAGATAAGATATTTAAGGCAAATCACAAGGCTGTGTTTTTTAGAATTATCTCTTCACATGATAATTTTTCAAATGTGCAGTTTTGCTCAGTGTTTTACATATCTCAGCTCTGCAAGAGTAATAAAATTCTCTAAATCTGTGTTGAAATGGATATCCTTCATGGCTGTCCTTATTTTATTTTATTATCTTATCATTTTTTTTCACTGTGTGCACCAGAAAACATTTATTTTCCCCGATATTGTCACAAACTTAATTTAGTGAGTTATTTCTTTGTTAAATTCCAAGTGACCGAGATAGTCATTCTTTTAGTGTAGGTCACTTGGCAACAAATTCTTTTAGTTTTCCTTCATTTTAGGTGGTCTTGATTTCTGCTTTGTATATATATTTTTCAAATATTTATTTAAATTATTTATTTATTTATTTATTTATTTATTTATTTATTTTCAGCGTAACGGTATTCATTGTTTTTGCACCACACCCAGTGCTCCATGCAATCCGTGCCCTCTCCAACACCCATTAGTTAATGTACAATGTGATCCTGGTTTCAGGAGTAGATTTTAGTGATTCATCACTTACTTATAATACCCAGTGCTGCTCAACCCAGCAAGTGCCCTCCTTAACACCCATCAACCATTTAGCACATTCCCATCTACCTCCCCTCCATCAACCCTGTTTGTTCCTACAATAGAGAGTCTCTTATGGTTTGTATCCCCCTCTCTCTTTTTTCCCCTTCCCTTATATTCACTGGTTTTGTTTCTTAAATTCCACACATGAGCGAAACCATATGGTATTTGTCTTTCTCTAACTGCCTTATTTCACTCAGCATAATACACTCTAGCTCCATCCATGTCATTGCAAGTGGCAAGATTTCATTCTTTTTGATAGCTGAGCAGTATTCCATTATATGGGTGTGTGTGGGTGTGTGCGTGTGTGTTTACACCACCTCTTCTTAACTATTCATCAGTTGATGGACATTTGGGTTCATTTCATAAATTGGCTATTGTTGACAATGCTGCAATAAGTACATGTACCCTTTTGAATCAGTATTTTTGTCCTCATTTTAGGGAAGCAATTTTACTTGATGCATTACAGCTTCCCCTCCTCCCTCCAAATTAAAGGACATTGTTCTTATGAAAGGTTGATACCTTTCTGGTCATTAATTGGGGAATCAGTTTTTTGTTTTTTGTTTTTCTGACAAATAGAGAAATCCATCAGAAACTAACCTGTTTGGTTTTCCTTGCTCAAAAAGTTGGGGAAAAGAATGAAATTAAATTTTTCTCCCATTTGCTTCATGTCAATATAAAATTGAATATTTCTCATATTTAAAACTATGTAGTGCAGTTTTAATTTTGTCTGGAGAGGGAAACCTAAATCTAATTTAGAGTAATCTAAAACCATGACCAGTTAGAATAGTTTCAGTTTATATTTGGAATTGAATATATGAAAATTATACCAATTAAGTTTTGTTTAGACTAGAATTAAAATTTGTCTGCATACAGTATTGGAAAATCAGAGTACTCAGGATTCTTAAGGATGTAAACATAAAAACTTTTCAGGGAGGTAGCATGGTAAGTAACAAAGAGTGGGGACGTTGGAGTCATTGGCCAGACAGGAAGTCTTCTGTCACTGTTACTCGAGCAACTCTAAGCAATTCCTTAATTTTTATTTCCCATTTTGTACAACAGGGATGCTGACACTACCCACCACAATGGGATCAAGATAATTATACATGGTACCTCAAGTTCCTGGTACTTAACAAGAATTAAGCTATTGCTGTTTAGATGGTTGTCTGTATCAGTATGGGGGCTGATATAACCAAGTGTCACACAGACTGGATGGCTTATAAATAACAGAAAATTTATTTTTCTTAGTTCTAGAGGCTGGAAGTCTGAAAGCAGGGTGCCAGAATGTTCAGGTTCTGGTGAGAACCTTCTCCAGGGTGCAGACTGCCAGCTTCTCCCATCCTCACATGACAGAGAGTGAGTGAACTGACTCTCTGGCCTCTTCTTACAGGGGCACTAATTCCAGTCATGAGGGCTCCACCTTCATGACTTAATTACCTGCCAAAAGGCCCACCTCCAACTACCATGACCCTGGGGATAGATTTCAATATATAAACTTTGGGGGAACACAAATATTCAATTCATAGCATATAACAATAACACCTCCTGGGACCATTTTTGTTTGTTTGTTTGTTCTTTAAACCTAAACATCTATGCGAGCAGCTCATTTAAGTATCTTTTTTTTTTTTTTTCTCTTTTAAAGAATAGTTGAAAGAGAAGAATATCTGATAGGCAGAAAGGATGTTTACACAACCAACCCATTTCTCTTTATCATCTCTCTCTCTCTATTATCTATTATCTCTCATTTCTCTATCTATGACATTCTTAATATTCTTTGAACTAGTGGTAACATCTTACTGGTTTCCTCATTGATTAATGACTTAAATAAAATCTTTGACATCTGTTCATTTTATACCTGCATGAGATATAAATCTTCCTTTAAAAATGATCTTCTAACAACTACAACAAAGAAAAAATTTTGTAAATTGTTAAAAAGAAGCACTTTGTAAAAGCCGCATATCCACTAAAAAGTGGCCAGGTTCATGTTTTCCTGCCAAGTGTCAAAAAATTTGTTACTTTGCATGTTTGATTTACTCCACATTGAATGATAACTCATGCCTGTTAGCAAGAAAGATGTAACAACGTTTTGTTTGTTTGTTTTTAAATTCAGTGCTGTTTTGTGAATTATGTCACACTGAAATCTGTAGATATATAGTAAATATGAGATTTACATTTCAAGTTTCCTAATAAGCATTAAGCTTATTAATTAACTTATTTAATTAATAAGCTTTATAATATATAATCCATTCTATTTTAACATATGGATTATATATTATATATTATATAGGGATTATAATAATCCATTATATTATAATATATGGATTATAAAATATAACCCATTAATAAGCTTAATAACCATAAGCAACCAGGTGGCATGCATATAGCTTTTATTGAACAGTAGGGTGCCCATTTAGTTGGTGGCTCTGTAGTTTACATGGATTTCTGGCTTCACATCACAAACAGTGTTCAAAAGTTGCTTCAACACACTTTCCATGCATTTGTTGTAGCTTCCATTCAGTTCTTTTATCTTCCCTTGTGTTTGCTCTTCTACTTCTTCTGAGAGATTACTTTGAGAGCCCATTATCTGACAAAATAAAACAGAGAGAATTCACCACACTATGTATCATTTTAAAGTGTAACTGTTTTACTAGTTAAACTTGTTTTGGGTTATTTATTAATGCTTGTTCTATGGTGTACATCTTACGTGTTATTTTTCCAGAACTTTCTCAGAGAATGGATACAACCACCACTACCATAAGTGAGATAGATAAACATTCCTAAAGAATGAAAAGCTATGGTCAGTTACTTCTGTTTTGAGGCTGGTCTCCACACAGTACAAATTGAAGGCACATTCACAATCGTTATAACACACTCATAAGTTTTTTCATGTATTACATTTTTCACATATTTATAATAGGTTCAATTCAGTTCCTGTATCTTCCCCGTGGTTTACTTTTCTGAATTAAAAATCTGGAAAATAAAGTTGAAAGACATGATTTCACCCATTCTGCTGATTTTTAAAGAGCAAATAACTGGTTTGCCAATTTTTAAAATATATACTGATTGTTGTTTTTCAGGAAGATATAGCTACAACATGCCCAGTACAATACTTTGGCATGTATAGTTATCTCTTTTTGGGTAACAGATACAATTTTGAAAATTTTAATATAAATTGAATTTCAACTTAAGGTATACATGTCCAGGGGCACCTGGGTGGCTCGGTTAAGCCGCTGCCTTCGGCTCAGGTCATGATCCCACCAGGGTCATGGGATCGAGTCCCACATTGGGTTCCTTGCTCAGTGGGGAGCCTGCTTCTCTCTCTGCCTCTGCCTGCCTCTCTGCCTGCTTGTGCTCTCTCTCTCGCTCTCTCTCTCTGATAAATAAATAAATAAAATCTAAAAAAAAAAAAAAGATATACGTGTCCATTTAGTTACATTATATTTTTAGATGCACTTTAATAAATCTTTCTGGTTGCTCTCACTAGCAGGATTTCCCAGTATTTCCCATTATCTCCAAGAGATTTGAACAAAATAAAATTTCACCAGGGGAATTGCTAATTTAAAGGGATTCTGCAGTGAAACCCTTTGTAAAGTTATCCTTTGCTAAGCAAACAGTCAACTCCTAATTTATCTCCTTTGTAAACTCAGCCTTTCTTAAACAGCATTGTTAAGGTGACACAGCTGGTTTTTGTTTGTTTTTCTCTTCTGTGAGTGTTTACACACAAAGGAGGTATGCATTTAGTTCAATCCAAGAGACTACGCTAATGATTGACTCATAAGACTATTTTAAATTCTAGAATTTGAATTATCTTTCTAGGTCCTACACTTGAAATCAAATGCAACTGAGGCCATCAGTTTCAAGTTCTTTTCTGTTTATACTCCATGCAATAAGGGCTTCCCAGTTCAAAGAAAATCACTTAAGGAAAACTAGCTTCTAAGACATCAAATAACTTTTATAAAATAACATTTTGATAAGTGAGAATATAAGGAGTAGAGACATATGGACTGAATTTCCCTTGCTAGGAAGAAGTCTAAAAATGGAGGAGAACTACTTACCAAAATTATTTTACCAAAATCTATTTTTCCTTCTAAACCCATTATCTTACATGAGAGTCTACCAAACTCAAAAAAAAAAAGTCTTAAATCCAACTTCTTTAGTGTTGAAAAATGTATAAGACAAACTATTATAAAATTATTATCTAATTTTTTGGAACAGTGTTAAAAACAGCTGTTATTAGGTTAGATCAGTGAACTATTCTGTAGGCCCTTGAAAAAGTTCATTTCAATTTAGGTTCTTTATTTCAGCATTGTCCAACAGAAACGTAACATGACTCACAAAGCAAGCCATATATGTACATTTTTTAAAAAGATTTTATTTATTTATTTGAGAGAGAGAGTGCAAAAGTGGGGGGAGGAACAGAAGGAGAGAGAGAAGCTCAAGCAGACTCCCTGCTGAGTAGGGAGTCCACAGTGGGGCTCCATCTCATGACCCTGAGATCATGGCCTGAGCCACAATCAAGTCAGTCACTTAAGCAACTGAGTCACCCAGGTGTCCCAACAAGCCATAGAAGTAATTTTAAATTTTACAGAGTTACATTAAAAAGGTGACTTTTTAATTAAAAATTTAATTTAACTGGGGCGTCTGGGTGGCTCAGTGGGTTAAGCCTCTGCCTTTGGCTCAGGTCATGATCCCAGGGTCCTGGGATCGAGCCTCGCATCAGGCTTTTTGCTCAGCAGGGAGCCTGCTTCCCTTCCTCTCTCTCTGCCTGCCTCTCTGCCTACTCGTGATCTCTGTCAAATAAATAAATAAAATCTTTTAAAAAAATTTTAATTTAACTTAAAAAAGACAAAATTGATTTTAATGACATATTTTATTTAACCTAATGTATTTTTTATATTATTATTTTGATGTACCATCATTATAAAATTATTGCATTGCTGTTTTTCATACTAAGTTTTGTAATCTGGTATATATTTTATACTTACAGAACATTTTAATGGGAACTAGCTAAATTTTTTAAAAATTTAATTTAATTTTACTTAAATTCAATTAATTAACATACAGTATATTATTAGTTTCAGAGGTAGAGTTCCATGATTCATCAGTTGTATATAACACCCAGTGCTCATTACATCACATGCCCTCCTTAATGCCCATCACCCAGTTATACCACCCATCTCCTCCACGCATGGACTAGCTACATTATGAGTGTTTTTTAGCTATAGGTGAAGTGGCCACCATTTTTTATTTTTTTAAAGATTTTATTTATTTATTTGACAGAGAGAGATCACAAGTAGACGGAGAGGCAGGCAGAGAGAGAGAGAGAGAGGAGGAAGCAGGCTTCTTGCTGAGCAGAGAGCCCGATGTGGGACTCGATCCCAGGACCCTGAGATCATGACCTGAGCTGAAGGCAGCGGCTTAACCCACTGAGCCACCCAGGCGCCCCCCACCATTTTTGACAGTACGAGTCTAACACACAGATGGTAGCTACTACTATTAGTTGTATTCTTCATGTGCTTTTCTAAGACAATACGATGATTTTTCTGAAAGGATTATAGTATAGATGTTACATAGCAAGGAGCTTAGCCCTGAGCAACTGATCAGTAAATGTCGGTGATTTTTATGAATTGTCACTGATTATGTTCCTTGTGCTTTTTAATCCATTTTATACTTTCAGAAACATTGGAATGCCCTTAAAAAGTAGCCCATAGTCCATGCCTCATCCTGAAAAGTTAAATATAATATTATTTTGAGTTTATTTGATGTGCAGTAATTTGAATTTCTATAGTTCTATATTGAATTGTTTTACCAGTAACCAACCATATACTGTTTTATTATTTTTTTTACTTTATTTTAAATTTTAATTCCAGTATAGTTAATATTAGTTAACTATAGTTATATTAGTTTCAGGTGTACAATACAGTGATTCAACAATTCTATATATTACTCAGTGCTCATTAAGATAAATGTACACTTAACACCCTTCACCCACCCACCTCTCCTCTGGTACCATATACTATTTTATTTATTTATTTATTATTTTATTTTTTTTAAAGGACTCTTTTTAAAATTTTATTTATTTATTTGACAGAGATCACAGGTAGGCAGAGAGGCAGGCAGAGAGAGAGGAAGGGAAGCAGGCTCCCCGGGGAGCAGAGAGCCCGATGCGGGACTCGATCTCAGGACCCTGGGATCATGACCTGAGCCGAAGGCAGAGGCTTTAACCCACTGAGCCACCCAGGCGCTCCCATATACTATTTTAAATGGCCTTTCTCATTCCATACCTTTATATATGCAGACAGTGTGGATTTAAGTCATCCAGGAGAGTAAAGGAATGAATATAAGCTCCACAAAAGATCAATTGCCTTGTCCAGTGATGTATTGTAAGTGTCTCTAACACTGCTTAGAGCATAGTAGATGCTCAGTGCATATTTGTTGAACTGAATAGAATGATCAGAGAACGTATTACAGAGAACACATTACAGAGAGCTTATTACCTACACTCTGCTGCTCTTGTTGGCAGAAGTCTGCTATCTGAATGTTTGGCACACTATATAAATTAAAAGTTGATAATTGTGTGACATGTGGTGGTACACTTCATCAAAGGACTCCCTTTAAGGACTTCTTCCTGTTAATTTTCAAAACTTCAATATTGAGATTGATGCTTATTAGATTCACAGCTAAATGACTGATGGTGTTTGTGAAATCTTTCAACATTCAGTAAGTTTTTTTACAAATTTTTCAAATGTTCCTGTTTGAGAGAAAACAGAGAGGTGTGCTTGGGTGACTCAGTTGGTCAAACATCTGCCTCTTGGTTTCAGCTCAGGTCATGATCTTGTGAGTTGTTGGATTGAGCCCCTGCGTTGCTCTCTGGACTCCGTGGAGAGTCTGATTGGAGATTCTTTCCTTCTTTCCCTCACCCCACTCACACTCTCACTCTCTCTCTCAAATAGAATAAATACAACTTTTTTTTTCTTTTTTAAGGGGAAAGCAGAGATTTTTGGGTCCCACTATTATAAGCAAAACACAGTTTTGCATTCTCAATCTACGGTTGTTTGAAGAAAACAAAATGAATTCAGGAGGAAAGATGAAAGATACAAAAGTCTTCAATATGCCCCAGGAAACTGTTTTCATGTTTTCTGGTTAGATTCATGGGCCATCTAACTTCTACTTGCGTTAATAAGAAATTTCATGTTTCCACTGTAGTCCAGATTTCCTTTTAGCCATGTAATATCTTCTTTTGGAGAAGAAATTATATCCGGTAGCAATGACAAGCAAGGGATAAATAAATCTTTAATAAAACAATATTTGTTGATAAACAACCCACACTGGGATACCTCTTTCTGTTGATATATCAGGGGAATTGAAACAACACATACATTGACAAGAGCTAAAAGACGCAACTAAAAAAAATGACATCGAGGCGTCTCACCCACAGCAGGCAGGAAACTGGCTTCTTGGGTCTCCTCCCAGACCTCCTACTTGCCCTGGGTTAATGATGATGAGATTTAACTGGAATAGCAATATGTCTGACATATGGAGGTCATGCCAAGGAACGAATATCTTGTGCTAATGGTTTTACAATATGCTTGAACTAGCGGAGGCCTAAACCTGTTAAACTTTCTATGTGAGCTTTTGATCAACTAGCTGGAAAATTGGCTTCGAGCTCTAATTATGACAGCAATGAGGAGTTTTAATTATTTTCCAAAGCAGAGAACAAATATCCTGAACCAGATTTACATCTTATGAGATCTTTCTGGAGATATAATATTTCAAGAGATTTAACCCAACTACTTTCTAAAATTACAGTCAGTCTTGTGATTACTTAAAAATAGAAATAAGTACATCAGAAATATTCTTCCTGGAATAATAAATGCTGGTCGGCATTAAGGATGACTATTATCTCAGGTCCCAACATGTCATGGGTCATGATGGGACTCAACAGGAAAGATAAAGGCACAGAAGAAATGTTGGTTACCCATTCTCCCAGTGAATATTTATTGTGTGCTTACTATGGAGCAGGCACTATTTTATCATTGGGGAAAGTAACAGAGAGCATAACATAGAACCTGCCATTTTGGTGTTATAGTTCAGAAGAAAAGATAGGCAATAAAAAATGTGAATTTACAATGTATCTAGTTATGAAACCTGATATGACTATAATGGGGAATTTCTTTTTTGAATGAGAGACACAATTTTAAATAAGGTGATCAGAAAGAGGAGTTAACAAATGAACAGAGATCAAAGAAGGATGAAAATGTCTGAAAGAAGATGATTCCAGGGAGGAAATAAACATGTGTAAAGGTGCCATTGGCGGTGGCGCGTTCAGTCTGGGGAAGAACGGGAAGGCAGATATGGCTAAAATTGAACAGAGACAAAGGTAATAGAAAATGTTACAAATGACTCTAGTAGATATTATTGCACCTTGCTTGCTGGAAAATGTTCTCCTATTTCCTTATGATTTCTTTTTCAATTGACTGGCTTCTTTCAATAAATTTTTCATAAAAACATAAAGAAATGCTTTTCCCTACACTATCATTTAAAAAATATCTGTGGTTCACAGTAAAATGTAAGTGCATGACATTTTTAGAACTGACAAGTTAGAGAGACAGCCAAGGGCCAATTACGGAGGGTTGTATACACATGTATAGACTTCGGATTTTATGATGCCTTTTTAAAAATATTGATAAGAAGAACTTATTTTAGCTGATGGTCCACTTTATTCTAGGAAGGACTTTTTATGTTAAGAAAGAGCCCACTGGTGGCACCTGGGTGGCTCAGTTAGTTATGCTTCTGCTTTTGGCTCAGGTCATGATCCCACCGTCCTGGGATAGAGACCCACATGGGCTCCCTGCTCAGCAGGGTGTTGGCTTCTCCCTCTCTCTCTGCCCCTCCCATGCTCATGCTCTCTCTCTCTCTCTCTATGTCAAATAAATAAATGAAATCTCCCCCCCCAAAAAAAATATTGAGAAAAAAGAAAAAAGAAGGAGGTCACTGGAAAAGTTTTTCCTACCATGAGATTCAATTTACCTGATCCTCTATGAGTCTCACATCCACTCCCACTAAAATAAAAGTTGTAAATAAGGGGATTTCCAAAGTGCTTGTAGTTCATCTTGCAGTGTCAGCCTTTATTTATGTTCCTACTAAAGAAAAAAAAAAAAAAAACCGTACCATATAAACTTTAGTTTGTAACACATGGAATTTAATAATTTTTTTTTACTCCATGTTGCAACACAGAAGGGAGGATGTTGGTTCTGAAAATATCATGTGCTTATTTATTTGTTTTTTTTTTACTGTAAACTGTAGATATTTGGAAAATGTTAGTGGAGGAAAAACCCTTTTAAAAATATTTTCATGAAAGATTTGTTGAATGAAGCCAGACTGTTAAAGAGGAAATTAAAAAAAAACAAACAAACCAGGAGACTTTTCAGCAATATGCAACAGTATCTACTTTAGTTATTTGTAAATCTTGAATTCACCAAAGTAGATGTGGATTAACAAACTCATTCTGTAACGATGTACAACTCTTTTTATTGATTGTAGTGGTGAATGTCGATAGACAAAAAAATACACTTTGTGAAGTGTTTTTCTTAATAAAATGTGTTAGTCAATAATCTGTGGTAGAAATAATACTCAACCAGGCCCTTCAATTTGAATATTTGAAAACACAGTTTTTAATGGGCAGCATATAATAGATATTAACTATTGATTGACACTTTCTATGTTAAATCAAAAAGCCTTGAAAGTGAAAGCGTAAAATCAGTAATTCTAGAATGTGTAAGATTTAGTTTGATGTTCAAGCTAGTTGAACTGCATCTGCTCAATCCAGTGTATTTCCCCCCCTTGATATTCTGAATTATACCTTTTGAATATTAATGTATTATAATCTCTGCCGCATTAAAAAGAAGCTGCGTTTCCTTTCTTGTTTACCTTAGACTGTTTCAGTCTGAACGCCTTCTCTCTCTGCATTCTGTACTGGTCAACTTCTGCCATAGCTTCTTCTTTAGCTTGCTTCAGTCGCTTCTCCTTTCCTGAATACGGACAATGGCATAGAAGGAATGGTTTTTGTTTTGTTTTGTTTTTTAAATAGACATGGAATTTCAAACTTGATTTCTAAGAAGAAAAAAATCAGTGACGTCTACCTTATGTTCTTGATATATTTTCCTAAAACTGGCAAACTTCATTAAAAAACAATATTGAAAAATACCTTGTTTTTTCCGATTGGATTTTCCAGAATATGGAAATGACAACTTTCTTTCACACTTATGTGTTTAAATAAAATATCTGCCCATTTACTCACATCAGTAACAGCCAGAGAACAGATTTTAGCTGTCAGCTATTCGGAAAGACATTATTTGGTCAGATTTTCTGTCCTGATTTGTTGCCAGGAATCCTTCAGTCCCCACCAACTGGATCCTATTTAGCACTGGCAGATCTCCAAAAGCACTACAAACATGCAACTCAGACTCTATCAAACTGACTTACAATTTTTTAAAGCATTTTATTGAGATTTTTTTTTTTCTTAGCATTTGTTGACTCTAGAATGTCTGATTAAGCCCCACAGCACATCAAAGTGGGTATTTTTTTTTTTTTTCGTAGTAGCTTTCTCTGAGGGGGACTTGAAAGTCGCCGTAAAACCAATTGTTTTTAATGGTTAGGAGATTTAGTTAAATAGCTCTCTTTCTTTTATTAAGAGCAAAGGTGTAAGCCTTAAGCCAGCAGACAGCAATGTAGATGAAAGTTTCAGACAAACACAATGCTGTGGGGATCATTAACTAAGCACATGACTTTTTTTGACAACCTGAGTAAATTTGGGGGCTTACAGGCTAATATTAATTGTTACTATGCCCCCAGCACCCACCACCTTCAGGGGGTTAGGTCTTAATGCTTTGTGATCATTAAAACTTTAAAGAAACTCCGAACTGTATTAACATTTTTTTATCTGAATCTCTTGTCTTCTAATTTCACTTAAATGCTTCCATTCTTTTGCTTATTTAACATTCTCTGATAATGTCTCAAGCTTTTGTTTATAATTTTTGTCAACTGTTATTTTGTGTAGACTTTGAACTAAATAAGTGTTCTCATTAAATAGCAGAAAAGAAAATCTTAACATAAACTTCTGTCATCCACATACATGTTTTTATATGACTTTATTTTTATACATCTTTGTAACATTTGAGTGTAAATGGTTTCTAAATTTCTCTCCCTGCTAAGCATGAGTTGCTTTGCTAGTTGCTGTCTATATATTCCATTTATTCTATGAAGATAGATTCACTGAGTTATAAATTGACATGGGTCTCTTTTAATGCCTCTTGTCCTTGAATAGAACCGAGTAAACCTCATTCAGATCAGATAGTTAGCTTTGCCTTTACTCCATAAAAAATCCAAGGTATGATGAAAATTAGTGCTCTTCTGATGTTTGAGGCTTAATGGAACATTAACAGCAATGCTTACCTTTTTCCTACTGAATGAATGCTCATTATCATTTTATATATACAGATGCCTTCATTCTCCACATTTCTAACCATTCTGTGGCAACCAAGCACGTACTATTCACAGAACAAATACACAATATTTTGGGAGAGGAAACTCTTCCTCGATCCCCAGTTCTCTTTCTTATCACTGCTTGTCATTAACATTAGGACAGAAATATACGTAAGGTGTATTAACATTTTCTTAGTAATAATAGGTTGGAAGATACATAATCACTTTATAAATTACATGAGACATCACTACTCTCCATGTTAATTACATAAAATGTAAAAATATTGGTTTCAAAGTCACAACTCTAGTACATTAAAATAATAATAATAATGATAATAATAGTAGGAAAATTCTGTGTGTGCGCCTTCCCTGAGCAGAATCCAGTGCCCCACTTAGAAGGCTGTATATTAGCTCCATCACACAGTGACATGCTCAGAGTGTGTCTGTGATTCCCCCGTCATGGCACCAGTCACCTGCTGATTCTCATTCAATTAAATAGGAGAGCCACAGGGAAATAGCTGCTGGCACAGCCAATTTCTGGACAGACTCAGCAGCTGCCGCTGTGTGAGAGCCTGCATATGCTACACCTGATTTAATCCAGTGGAAGAAACTGGAGCCTAAAGCCTGCTGTTTCACTCGAGGTGAATTAAAATGCATGCATCAAATCAACTCTTATCAATCTCTGGGTTGCTTCTCTGTCTCGGTATGAAGATTTCCAAATTTTAATATTATACCTCTTTCTTCTTAAGCATTAAATATATGGCTGCTGTGACTCAAGTGGCATTTAGGTTTATATTCTTATTTCTTAATACTTTCTGTACCAAATATAGGGGTGACCCTATGGGACAGCCCAGATTTTAAATAGGACAATCAAATGTTTGGTCCCAAAATTCCTACAAGGTCATATGTGCTTATGAGACCAAATGGTCTAATGTTTGGTTTAGAAAATGTGATTACCTTATGCACGATGATTTTAAATACAACTAAAGCAGATTTTAAATACTACTAAGCTCCAGAGTGGTCCAGGAAGGGATGGTTTTGATTTGTCCATCCATTATTCACTCAATGTTTATCAAACGCCTACTATATGTTCTGCATACAGCTATACACAGAGTGTAGAGAAATGCATATGATATGATCCTTGCCTCCAGCTGGCATAAATACAGTGTAATTTGGAAATGTGTGCATGACACACCGGCATCCAAGAGGAAAATATAAAATACATAAAATTGTGAAGAATACATATAATAAATTATGAAAAATGGAACATATATTTTGATTCTGTTTCTTCCATGGCAGTTAAAAACCCTCAAATTTATGGAAGTTAGTATACTTAAGTTCTAGACAATTTGTGCTTGCCATTCACCCCAATAGTCATGTTATGTCTTATGTTATTAAAGTAAGTAAAAAATACAAACAACAGAACACAGATACGTAGAGTGTGGGTCAGAGCAGGCTGCCAAGGGACATCGGGGAAGAACTTCTGAGGAAGGAATGATTGAGCTGAATGGAAAAAAAAAAAAAAAAAAGAACAAGGCACAGTGACCCTTTCTAAGATACTTTTGGACATTCTTTGTAAACACTGCACCTTAATAACCCTATTCATTTCTAAACATGCGGCTTGTCATGCAAATATGTCTTACATTCAACATGCCCTTATTGAGATATTTTACAGGAAATTTTGTGGGAAGGAAAGAGAGGGAAAGATCTTTGAGGTCCAGGGGATTTGTGGGAAAAGAATGAAAAAATCTATTTGGGCAGATTAAAACTCAGCTGTATGTGGGAGTGTGGTGGGCAGTAAATGCTCAGGTATGGACTCTTCCTGGGTTTGTGGCCAAGTGAATTGAGTATCCCAAATGCAATGAGCTTTTGAGACACAGAAAACCCTGTTCTGTTGACTGGATGGTTAAATTGATTCTGGAATCGTTTTGTGATGAGGAAGATGAGATTTCATTTATCATTTCAGAAGAGAACTGAAATTATACACTAAGCACAACTAAAATAAGATATTAAAAGCCTTGCAAACTTGAGCAAGTTCGTGTGTCTGAGCCTGAGTTTTCTCATCTATAAAACAGATTTAACAATCTGCTGGAATGAATCATGATATGTCTTAGGAAAAAAATATAAATAAAATGTTTGACAAAGAACAGCTATTTGACTTTTTAATCATTGTTAGGAAAACAAGTCCAGTTTCTGGGGACCTTTTGTTAGGAACGAAGACAAGAAATATAATGTGAGTTTGAGGAACAGTCCTCAGGCTGTTAACTAGAAAAGTCTCTGTAGGCTTCCCTAAGGACATCCAAGTGGAGGTATTGAGGGCATCTGGACAGACAAGTTTGGATCCAGAAGCAAGTTTTGAAATGGAGACAAAGATCTGCATGTCAGTTATCTGGGATTGTATGGGTGCTTGTCATAGCAATGGGATTTGGACTGAAACCAAAGGAGTATGTACAGAATGAAGAGAAAAGAGAATGAAGGTCTTAATCTGGGTGCATGCCACCATTCCATATATGAGAAAAGGAAGAGGACCCTCAGGAAAAGCCTGAGAATTAGTGGTCAGAGAAGTAGGGGAAACCAAACAAACATTCAAGAAGGATGTGGCCACAGGGTCAAATGCTACAGAGAACGGAAAAAAGAGAAATTTAAATAACCAATGTTATCAAACATCCTCTATGTGCTGCACACTGTTTCTAGATCTATAAATACAGCAGTGAAAACCATAAACAGACAAACTTTCTATTCTCAAGGAGCTTGTATTCTGAACACGTGAAGGGGAGATAGAAAACAGGTAGTGGATGATATGGTAGAGATAGTAAGTACCAAGAAGAAGGAAGAAAGAGCCTATGGGATAGAGAGTTGGCGGGTGTTAATTTAGGTAGGTAGTGTCTTTTGGATGAAGTGATATATGAATAGAGACCTGAAGGAATAAGACAATTAGCCACGCAAATATCTAAAGGGCAAGAGCATTCCTAGCAGAGGCAACAACAGATGTAAATACCCTGGGTATGTGACATGCTCAAGAAACAGCAAAAATGCTGTCATGCCTGGAACAAAATGATTGAGATGAATGAATGTTAGGAGATGATATCAGAGCGGTAGTAGTGGGACCAGGTCACAAACTGCTCCTGGGGCATGATACAGCTTTTGTTTCTTAAGATGCTGAATTCATGAAGGGTTTTTAGCAAAGGTGTACTGTGATACTATATAAGATTTAAAAGGATTTCTTTGGCTGGTGTGGTGAGAATAGATTGTAGGGGCAAGGGAGAAATAGGAAGACCACTTTGAAATCTGTTGCAATAGTTCAGATAAGTGTTAATGATTGCTGGAAATAGTGAAGTAGCAGAAGAGTTGGTAAGAAGTTAGATATACTTTGAAGGCAGAGTCCATGGATAAATATGAGAGACAAGGCAATGGTGATCCAACATTTTATTTTGGGAGTAGGGTCAAGAATGCAGTTTAACTGAGATGCCTATTAAACATCTAGTGACAATGGTGAGAAAACTGATGTTTACATGAATTTGGAGAGTGAGGAAGCAATGAGGTCTGG